GATTTTGCCTGTTTTCAACTTGGCAACGCTGTAGCGCGCGGGAAAAATTTCGGCAGAACTTGCCAATGCCGGCAAAAGGCGTGTCTTGTGATAGGGAACAACTTATCCAACTCCCGGCAAAATCCAAGAGTAGGGCAAAATCGCAGATATTGAATAACCCTCTTTATAATTACTTTGAGAACAACAATTTGTTCTCCAAATTTCCGTTTGGGTTTCGGCAGTCGCGGTTCAAAACACCAGTTGTCAGCCTACAATTTGAAAAGTCTAAAGCTTTGGATTTGGTAGATCATGAGATATTATTAGAGAATTTGTTTAAATATGGTTTTTCCAATAACGCTTGTAACCTTGTCAAAAGCTATCTCTTAAATCGAAAACAACAAACAGAAGTATGGGCTTAGGTATCTTTCTTCCATGAAAACTTGTTCGGATGGAGTGCCTCATGGCTCGCTTTTAGGCGTATTCCTTTTCTCAATCTATATTAACGACTTGCCTGATTTTTTAGCTGACATTGAGGACAGTCAAACAGTAATTTATGCTGATAATATTAACATTGTAGTACAGGGCAATTATATACTGGAGAAAACAGAACAGGTGCGGGTTAATAATTGGGTAGAAACAAACAATCTTAAGTTAAATTTTGGGAAAACCTGCATACTAACTTTAACCAGAAAAGTGCAGGCCTTTGAAAAAGTTGTTTTCCAAGGCCATGAAATTCTAGTGAGCCAATCAGTCAAATATTTAGGTTTCCATATAGACCAAAATCTAAGTTGGAACTCCGATGGCAGTTATGTACAACGTAAAGTTGCCTCAAAAATATTTGCCATTAGGACACTAGCTAGTAGAGTAGACAGAAACTCTCTAATGAATTATTATTATGCCATTATTGACTCTATTATTAACTATGGCGTTCACGTGTGGGGACATGCCTCAGATGTAAGTGATATCCTATTAGCCCAAAAGAGAGTTTTGCGAAAAATTGCAAAAAAAGGTAAGACTTGAGTCTCATAGAAGGCTGTTCCCTGAACTCTGAGTTATGACAGTCTCTGCTCCGTACATTCTTATCACAATCAAAGAAGCAATAAAAATGGGATATATAAGTAAAAAGAGAAGCAAAAATGACCATCACATGGAAACAAGAAACATTCTAGTGAGAACAACAAGAAAGGTTGACACTGGCTGGGACTGGGATAGCTTGGAGTTTAGGGGATTCAGGTTTTTCAACAAATTACCTAAAGAATGGAAAGAGATCTTTGTCAAAGCTGAGTTGCCTAAATTGTTCATTAAGATATTAAAAGAACACTTCTTCGAAACGCTTACTACACCTTGCAAGAAGTTTTAAAGGGGTATGTGCAAAACGGGCCATTTCTCGCTCGTGTCGGATACCACTGAGACTTGTCCTATTCATTCATCTAACAATGCCCCATGTTTTCCCAAAGTTTCAAGTCCCTAAAAAAATTTGGGGGGAAATGGCAGGGGGTCCAAGTTGAAAATCCGCTAAATTTTCGCGAATTTTTTACTCTAAAACTACTAAATATTTCGAAACGCGGTTTAAACGAGCGTTTTCAGCGTGAAAAGAGCTCTCAGAAAATGTATAATATCATAGGGTTTTGTCGACTTAAACTCGAGTTATAGCCTCCGAGGCGCCGGAACGCTATAAATGACCCGCTTTTCTGTCACGTTTGGGCCGATCCCCAGAATACTCCATTTTTAATTTCTTTGAAAACCTAATATGTTGTTCCTGACTCTCTATGGCACCTATATGTCTTTACCGTATCCTGGGGAAATGTTTTGTTCGCGAGTTACAAGCGCGGAAAAGAGCGAAGGTCGGGAAAATCGGCTATTATGAACTGCGCGCGTCGCATGAGTTAGAAGGAGAACGCCCCCTCCTGCTCAGTTCGGCGAATCACACTCCTCTGCCGACTTCGCATTGTTGCCACATGTCTCCTGATCCGTCGCCGCGCGCAGTTTAAAATAGCCGATTTTCCCGACCTTCGCTCCTTTCCGCGCTTATAACTCGCGAACAAAACGTTTCCCCAGGATACGGTAAAGACATATAAGCGCCATAGAAAGTCAGGAACAACATATCAGTTTTTCACAGAAATTAAAAATGGAGTTTTTTGGAGATCGGCCCGAACGTGACAAAAAAGCGGGTCATTTTATAGCGTTCCGGCGCTTCGGAGGCGATAACTCGAGTTTAAGTCGACAAAACCCTATGATATTATACATTTTCTGAAAGCTCTTTTCACGCTGAAAACGCTTGTTTAAATCGCGTTTTGAAATATTTAGTAGTTTTAGAGTAAAAATTTCGCGAACACGTAGGGGATTTTCAACTTTGACCCCCAGCCATTTCCCCCCAAATTTTTTTGGGGACTCGAAACTTTGGGAAAACATGGGGCATTGTTGGATGAATGGATAGGGCAAGTTTCAATGGTATCCGACACGAGCGTGAAATGGCCCGTTTTACACGTACCCCTTTGTAATATTCATCTGTTTTGTAACTTTTTCTAATTGGACTTGTATTGAGCCTTTCTGTTCAGGCTAAAGTACTAATTTTTTTTTTTGAAAAATATAAAAAAAAAGGCAAAGAAAGAAATAAATGAATATAAAAAAAAAATAATTACTGCTTAAAGTTATCTTGTATTTGCTGCAATCCGATGGCTTCACTTAGCCACAATCCAACTTCAAAATTGCCTCAATTTTTATACTTCTGCACTCTCAATCCTCTCCTAAATTGCCGATTTAATTTCGTTCTTTTTTGCCCGATTTAATTGCTGTCACATGAGACTGTCTATTCAAAGACATAACCTGTACAATACTGAATTCCACACTCAAAAGCAGGAAATTCAAACAAACAAATATTGAAAGATTGGACAGAAGGGAGGTCTCTCTTTTCTTATTCAAAACCTGTAAAGAGGTTCTCCGAGTCTGGGTTTTCAAGTTGCTTTCTTGTTCGTTGACAATTTTGGAATTTGCAGACTGCACAGGAATATGTAATTGATTTCTTAAATTCGGTGGCGTGCGGTCCTGATAAGAAAGGCAAGCACTTGTGGCGACAGAAAAAAAGAAAAAAGAAAAAAAAAGATGATGACCCCCTCTAGAGGGCAGGGAGCTCTGGGGGAAGAAAAGGGGGAAAGGTGAAAAAGGGAAGAATAATGGACAAGGGGTGACTGGCCAGACCAATCAAGATAACAGCCAGACCGTACCTCTTTCCCTTGTCCGAAGAGAAAGATTGGAAAAATCCCTAGGGCTGACTGGCCAGACCAGTCAAGACAACGACCAGACCGCGCCTCTTGCCCTAAGGAAAAGGTGAATGGATGAGAGCAGTAAAGGTAAGGGACTAAAAGCGTATTGGGCAGACCAATCAACACAACGGCCAGACTGTGCCTCTTGCTTTTAGTCAGAAGAGCAAGAGAAAAATGAATGATATGCGACAAAAAGGGGGACTAACGATAGTTACGAAAGGGCAGAATCAATGATAACAAAGTAAATACTTGTTCGAGACTGAGACCTTGTATTCTAATCACAAGAATAGATAACACTGAACAGTAAGGGAGTAAATGAGAAAAGGACTAAAGAACAAAAAGGAAGTGAAAGAGCGAAGAAAAACTAACTGTATCGATTCGGGGTATCCAACATAACCTACTAATCCAACTCGTCAAATCCTACAAAAAACCTATCCCGAGGTCGAACTCCGTGCGCCACGGAAGCTCTCGTCCACCTAGATCTGCAGTCACGACCGGGGATCCTCGTCGCCTCCAGCGCGCCGCAGGCCAGCAGTGGGGGTAGCTGAATCAGCACATGGCTGTCGCCGGAAAACAAGTGTTTTCTAGCGAAAAGGACAGGCGCGATCCCACCTCTCACTCTGGCCCGAAACGCTACGGAAACTCACGAGAGGATTTCCCTGATTACCACACTGCTTGCCCAAAGATTTCAGAAGAAAGAAGAAAATTACACCTATTACATGTTTTAAATTTTAGCAAATATTATTTATGAAAGGTGTTAGTATTAAGTGAATTGTATTAAAAACAGAAAGAGAGAGAGAGACAGAAGTACGTATGGAGCCACTAAAATAGGAAAGCGGCAAAGCGGAAGGAAGTGGCGCAGCGCGCTGCGCGGCCTGAACACGGGCCAACTCATGCTCTGGAAAATCGCTGACGATGGGCTGAACGGAGAGCCACTACTTGGCGGCGGCGGAATCAAGGCGGGCAGGGAGAGCGGTACGCTCCAAATCCGAGCGCTTTGCTGCGCAATCGCAGCTCGCTTCCCTTGGGCCTTTACTGCAGCGCGCTGTTTTTGCCACCGATGTGCTATCTTGTTCCCTCTTTCCGTCGCAGTTGCGATTGCTCCCTCTGGAGCAAATGGCCTCCATTTCTATAATATGTCGCTCACTTGGATCTATTTGGTGATGAATAAGACAATTCTCAATCCTATTTTAAACGCAGAAAGATGCTTTTTTTGCAAAACTTAAATAACTCCAAAAATTCTGAACGCTGTAGAATAAAGACTAGAAATACTTCAAACATGGGGCAAAATCGGTAGTTGAGAGCATGGAGCCGTCCTCCAACTCTCAAAAACATTCGAAACAAGTTGAGTAAACGAAATCATGAGTGAAAGAAAAAGAAATAAAACCACCGTTTTTCAAGACGTTCCATCAGAAAAATAGAGTAAATAGAGGGTCGCAAGGATCTGAATTTTTAACAATTTTGTAGGGGGGCTTCCTGAGGCGGGGAAGGGGATTGCGTTCCCCCCCCCCCCCCATGGCGAACGCCAGAGCTTGCCTTGTCACTAAACCCACCGCGGGACACTGCTGAAATCGTTATTGGAAAAATATTTCAAGATCAATTATGCATATTTCCTGCTGTTCATCCAAAACAAGAGAGGCATTGCCTTCCTTGACAAGACACCTCTGTTCCTCTTACGTTGTTATGTTAGTGTTTGAGGAGTGGTAATGAATATTCCACACTAAAATACAATGTCTACTTGACATGTGTAATACATACTTGAGTCCCAAGTTGAGAGGTGATTGGTGGCGACTCTTTTGGTGGTGTCTGGGGCGTGGCAGGCTGGACCGCCAGATAGATCTTAGTAGGACCAAGAACTCCTTGTGTTCCTGATAGAGCTTGGGCTACATAAAAAAAAAGAAGTAAAATATCGATATCCATAAAATAAACGAAAGAGGTAAAAAGCAAAATCATGAAATACAGGGTGTTAGAAAAGTCCTTTCCCTCCTTTTAACTTTTTACCTGATCGAGGTAGAGATTTGAAACTTGTAGGACGTTCCTAAGTCAAAGGGAGCTACTTTTTTACCCTAAAATTTTCAGGGGGCCCCCTTTGGAAGGTAACAGACCCCAACATTTTTCTTCGAAATGGAAAGACCCCCTTTGTATTACCTCGTCCGAAAGAGCATAAAAAAAGAATATTTCTAAGTCAATAACTCAAACAGTTTCAAAATTACGGCCGGTTGAAGTTCAAAATGGCCGAAAATTGGGACCTCGGCTATTGGCACTTGGCTCTGCCTGAAACTCGGAATCTCACCCTTAAGTTACCCTTTGACACCGATTATTGCGACAAACAACCGGTGTCAGTTTTTCCGTCATCTCGAACTTTAACCAGGCGCCATTTTTAAACGGTTTGAGATATTGACTTCGGGTTTGAGCGAAAAATTTTCTGCTTTTATACTCTTTCAAACAAGATACCACAAAGATGGGTCTTCCCATTAGAAAAGAAAAGGGTTAAAGTCCGTTACCTCCCAAGGGAAGCTCCTCTAAAAATTTTAGGAGAGTCAAAAAGTAGCTTCCTTGGACCTAGGAACGTCCTCCAAGTTCCAAATCTCTACCTCAATTAGGTAAAAAGTTAGAGAGGGGGAGGGGACTTTTCTGACACCCTGTGCTTAAAGGTTCTACAACTTGACAGTTGAAACTATTTCATACATCAAAAGTTTTGAGGACCTAAAAATAGAAAATGTCGATTGAAATGGCTTTGAGAAGTCTTGGTACACTTGCTGATGGACCTAAAAATCATGTTAGTGAAGCAAAATATCGGGCTAAGCAATCGCATTAGCATTAACAATGATCAGATCAACAAAAAATAATTCACTAATAATTACAAGCAGCACTCTTCATATTTATGAGGCATACTGGACTTTTTTCTAGATACATACATTTATACATAAGTTTGTCATTGGCTACAATTCAATGAAATTAATTTTTTTTCTGAGGTTCACTCAACAGTAAATGTATGGCATTCATTTTGTTTGAGTGCTAGAGAGAATCTCAGTCCGAGAAAGTTCTGAGTGAACAAAAAAATCAGGGCCTGCTGACAGCTGCACTACCGGTTTCGCTTTCATAAGAGTAAATCGGGTCGGCAAAGCCAGCCAACCCTAATTTGAGGCCCGAGCATTCTGAGATGCCGTGCAGATCCAAATGCCAGACGCTGGCGGGAGACGTACCGACGCAGCGCGCCCCACGCCCTCTGTTGTATAACCACCGCGTAACTCCCACGGTTTCTCTCCTGGCAGCTGAACAAGGACTATCTCGCCAAAGAGCCAACCTGAAGGTCTCACACGAGGCAGGTTTGAGGGTCCATTTACAAACCTTTGCTCAGCACATTTCACAACTCGAAAGCTTTGCAAACGAAAGTATGTCATGGGCCACGATTTTATGAAAACAAATTTTTTTATGAGGTTTAGCAAACATTAAATGTATAGCACTCATTCGATTCATCGCTTCAATTTGCACCGCATCTGGGAGTGCTTGGGCCTCATAACAGGACTGGCTGGCTATACCCGCCTGATGTGCTCTGCAATGAGCGAAACCAGTGGTTAGGCTGTCAGCCTGCCCCTCACTGGCCCATTTCTTTGTCCACACTGAAGTCTCCCCGACTGAGATTCTAAAATGATGATCGTAAATTTCGGAGATTTCGAAGAAAAGAGTGCCCTACATTTAATGTTGGCTAAACTTCATACATACATATATTTTGCTTTATAGCACTCCCCGGTGCTCTATGACACCTAACCTCCACTGCCCCCTGTCAAACCACAACCCTTTGGGTATCCAGCACCTTGACATTTCTGCTTCAATCCCATCTCTCCAACTTCTCATTGGGCACCCTCTGCGCCCTCTCCCAGAAAGAATCCAATCAAGGACCTTCTTTGGCAAACAGTCTCCTGCCATTCTCTGAACATGACCATACCAAATAATTTGTTTCGTCATAATGCCATGCACGATGGTCTATTAGACATCCATTATCTCCTACACCGTCTCATTCTTGGCGCAATCCTCTCTGGAAATACCAGCGGATCTACACCAGAAAACCATTTCAGTTGCCACTAAGACCTCCCGAGTCAGCTGTTTCGTTAGCCATACCTCTTCTTTTTTTAAAAAGAGAAAACGCATACCTTTGAGAAGCTGCTGCTTAACCTGCTGCTGCACTGCAGCCAGTTGCTGAGGTGAGAAATCAGATCCTTGGAGCCCTTGTAGCACAATTTTGGGGCCCTGAGGTCCTTGCATGACTTGAGCTGTTATACTCTTTATGATTGTACCTGGTGGCCTATTCACAAGAAGCGTTTTCTCTTGCTCGGCAGTAAGAGAGTTTGGCAATGAGTCAACTTTTTGGACAGGTGCTGTGGCTGCCGACGGTGCTGTAAGAGTTGCCTGGAGAAAGAATAAGAATAAAGTTGCAACCAAGAGCAAAGTTTTGCTGGAGAACCATGATCTAGAAACACAATGTAATTCCTCACTTGCTATTACTTTTCTTTTCTAGGCGCATGCGTTTTGTGGAAGTGGCGGCTGGCATCCTAAGCGAAACCGATTTCCCTAATTTTCCATTGGTGGGTGGCTGCTGTACCTATCCTCCCATCTCCCTCTGTTTAGGATATTGAAGCTGTGGACACCCCTTGACCCAAGTGAAGTAGATCAGGTCCTTAATTCCCTTCCTCCTCTTTCAGTTAATTAATTTCTTACTCCTATGAGTTTTGTTTTGACTTGTCACCGTTGATACATTAACAAATCCTTGAAATTGATTAGAAGACTATTCTAGGTAGAGCGATAAGCAGCAATGCACGGGAACGAGGGGGGGGGGGGGAGATTTCCATCATGGATGTGGAACATTTCTGCTTGCTCAAATGCTCATTTAGGAGCATAGGCCAGACAGTGGGTCTATTGCACGCAAGAGATACAACCAACCGAATAGACTTTCTAGCGGAAAATTCACGGAAAATTGTTAAAATCACTTTGGGCACATAAAAAGTCTGAAAATCACTCCATGATGCGCAACCTGCATAGTTGGAAACACGTTTTTTCAAATTTACCGAGTAAGCGGGCAGTTTTTCTTGGTGGCCGGCAGTCAGGTTTGCGCGCAGAGAGACCTAACCTAAATAGACTAAGAATCTTGCAAACTGTTGTTAACTTTTTTTGCGTAGGAATTCAATGCATTCAAAGCTTTTGTTCTTGCAAAATAAAGAGAGAAAACGGAAAAAACGCTTGAGAACGATTGAAACCATACAATATAAAAAGTTGATGAAATCGTTTGTTTACTCAGATTGCTTTTTCTGACTCCTCTGTCTGTGCAAACCTGGTTTGCGGTGACTAAGAAAACCTACCCGCAGACGCGGGAAACTTGAAATTTGTGTTACAAACTACGCAGATTGCGCACTATGGAATGAATTCCTGACTTTTTTAACAATCCCAACGTGATTTTCGTGCGATCGTACCTGTATAGAGTGTATTTGTTTGGCTGTATCTCTTGCGTGCAACAGTCCCATTGAGGTGAAAATATAAATATCTTTTTGGGTGCCAAAAAGCCACCAAACTCCGTGATTTATGCAAAATACAAAAAAAAAAAAATGTAGTTAGGCTGACTCTTTACGTGGTCTGTCCGGAAAGTATCAGGACTTTTTTATTATCTCGGAATGTAATGCATGTAATCAGCTGAAACTTGGGTTAGACTTTGCCCATGTCCTCTCCAATGCAGCCACACAATCGGGCTTTCACACCTTTAATCAGTCGATTGCAATCAACTGATCAAAGTGTGTGTGTCAAGTGCTATCGTCGCGTTTTTTTTTTCTTTCGTGAAATGACCGAGCGTGAAGATCAGAGAATTTGTATTAAATTTTACTTTAATCTAGAAAAAACTGCCAAGGAGACCATGGAAATGATTTGGAAAGCTTTTGGCACTGATTCTATGAGCAAGAGCAATATTTATGAGTGGTATAATCGCTTTAAATCGGGTCGTGAAACAGTCGCTAGTGATCCGCGGTCCGGGAGACCTTCATCGACGAATTCTCCCGATAATGTGGAAAAAGTTCGGGAAGCTATTGCCCAAGACAGTCGGTTAACCATGGGGGAACTGGAAAAGCAGCTAAATATCCCGAAGACCGTCGTTGCGGAAATTTTAACTGAAAAACTCGGGCTCCGTAGAGTGGCAGCGAAATTTGTGCCAACGCTCCGGCTCATTCCTCCTGTCTTGTGCAACAGTTTTTGGCAAAGCACGGTATTCCTCTGGTTCCACATCCTTCATACAGTCCAGACTTAGCTCCTTGCGATTTCTGGCTGTTCCCAAAGCTGAAATCTCCAATGAAAGGGACTCGATTTGACTCCATCAATGACACAAAAGAGAATACGACGAGAGCGCTGAAGGACAACCCAAAGAAGTGCTTTTTGGACTGATTTGAACAGCTCAAAAATCGCTGGAACAAGTGCATTGTGTCTTACGGAGAGTACTTCGAAGGAGATTAAAGCCACAATGTCATGGGTAAGCTCGATTTCTCAAAATCTAAAAAGTCCTGATACTTTCCGGACAGACCACATATGATGCAGTTGCGTACTCAGTGACAAACCTATCTACGTAATTTCTAATAGCTCGGTCAATACATAATTTTTTCCCCGATTCACCCAGAGACAATGATAAGGAAGCTTCAAAGGATCATTAATTATCTTTAAGTCAGTAGAAAAATGTACTTGACAGTTTAACCCCTTGGATTTGCAAAATTTGCTCTCCTGTTAAGTTGATAAAATGTACGGAGTCAGTCGGAATCAGCCTCACTACATCAGAAAGTTGAGTGATTTCTTTCATGTTCTATTTTTTTAAACTGAGGATTAGGGAACACTGAAACTTGAAATTTAGTGGGAAAATCGTCCATAATCTAGAGGGTATATTCACAGAAAGTATTGAGGCATTAAGAGGTTTAGTTCTCGGTTGAAAACCAAAAACAAATTACAAGACATGAAGTGCAACAAGCCTGAATCCAGTAAAATCCGTCCAAATGTATTTGGACTGATTTTGGTAAAAGCCAGCTATGTGGTTTTTGTTGGGGCCTCTTGTCCCCTCTTCTATGTTAAGTCTAATCCAAGGATGGACTGTGTTTGAGACAGTCTTGTAGATTTGCAATACCAGAATTCCAAGCATTAAAAATGCTGTTTGAGCCGTATTTGACATACTAAGGTTGCTCCTGCGCGGGGGTGCAGAAACTTCCCAACCACACGACTGGCCATTCGCGTGAAAAGGGGGAACCTATGAGAGGACGAGAAAAATGGGGGAACCCATGTGAGGACGAAATTTTTTTTTTTTAGGATTTAGGGGGAACTTGACTGTTGCGTGCGCTACTTTGAGGGAACCTAACTGTCGAGCGCGCTATTTTTAGGAGAACAAAACATTCAAGCGTGCTGTTTTGGGGGAACCAAACTGTTGACCGCGCTGTTTTGAGGGAACCCAACTGTCGACCGCGTTACTTTATAGGTTGGGCAAAATTCTGCGAAAAGTTAAAATGAGGAAACCTAAATTTATTTTGGGGGAACCCTTAGAAGTTTCTGCATCCCTGCTCCTGCATTAGAATTTTATGTGCCCAGCACATTTAAGATACAGAATTCAGGTGCACTTTTGAAACGATTGGGGGAGGGGGGATTTAAGATACAGAATTCAGGTGCACTTTTGAGACAATTGGGGGGGGGGGGCTNAGGAGGGACAAGAAGATAGTCCCCATGCTGAATTTGAATGAGCTTGATGCCACTAGTTTTAATTACTCCAGGGACTTTGATTGCCTGCCATGGTGTGTGTCGTGCATATTTCCCCCAACCGCAGCGCTCCCCCCCCTCCCCGTCTTTAAAGCCATTCTGATTGTGAGCGATAAACATATACACAGCTTAGACAACCGCTGGCGTAACGAAAGCATTCGACACAGGTAACTGTACCCCGGCAGAACTAACCGGCTTGGCTCTTGTGGACCCCTTCAATACCAGTCAATACGACCTGCAGGCAGTGTGTTAACACATCTAGAAACAATGAAAAGTCATATTAAAACTTGATTATTTGGCTCAGTTGTGGATGAAAATTAATAGGAGAAATAAAAGACTTACTGATGTCGGTGTTGAACAGGGCACCTGAGGAGTTGTTTTAAGTGGTGATGAAGAGGCAGCGACAGACATTGAAGTGTTAATGGGGGGCGTTGGTGCCAAAGGTGGAGGACTTGAGTGCAGTTGAAACTGATTACTAGATTTAACAACTTTCACAGTTTGACCACCTAACATCGTTGTAGTTGCACCACCTGCCCCTAAAATGGTTGGGCCAGCTCCTGAACAAACCAAAGGAAATCATTCTTAGATATATTGTCTGAAATTTTTTATTTTGTCCATTCCCTGACGATCCCCTGATTTCCTAATTTCCATGGAAAAATTCCCTAATGAAAACTCAGGATTTCCACTTGGTTCCCTCTATTTTTGGTGAAAAAAAAAGATTTTTATCCAAAGTCTGTGGAATAATAGAGTTTTCAGCATTTATCCGATTCCTTGAAACCGACTTAACACAAATTAACAAATGTATGTGTTTACTTACTAAACGCACAGAAAAAAATTGATTAAACTAAAGTTACATAAAAATAAGAACATATCTTTAAAGTGTGCATTCTTTTAAAAAAATCGTTTAAACCGCGACTTCAAAGCTCAATTTTTATGGCATCTACAGCATTCAACTGGGCAACACTGCAGCGCCCAAGGAAAATGCTTTTCAAACTTACCATTGCTGGAAAAAGGTATGCCTTGGAATAGCGAACAACGTATCAAACTCCAAACCAGATCCAAAGGGGGAGGAGATAAATCGCATTTTTGAATAATCCTCTTTCAATAAAGAAGCACATATTGCGATTTTTAACGCCGGATGATCCAAAAGTCCCTTCTATCCCCCTCTAACTTTTTACCTAATTAAGGTAAAGATTTGAAACTTGAGGGATGTTCCTAGGTCAAAGAGCGTTACTTTTGAGCCCCCCTAACCTTTACAGGGGGGCCCCCATGGGAATAACGGACCCCAACTTTTTTATTTCAAATGAAAAAACCCCCTTTGTGATAATTAATTCGGAAGAGCATAAAAAAAAAACTTTTCGCGCAAACCCGAAGTCAATGCCTCAAACCGTTTCAAAATGGTGACCAGTAAAAGTTCAAAATTACCGAAAATTGCCACCTCGGTTTATTGCCGACGGATTTGCCTGTAACTTGGAACTTACAGATAGTTTGACATAAGATTAACAAATTCGAACTTGGTTTGAACTATTAACCGACCGCCATTTTGAAACAGTTTGAGATATCTACTTCCAGTTGGTGCAAAAAGGTTTTTCTTTTCAGCTTTTTCGAACCAGCTATTACAATGGGGGTCTTCCCAATTGAAAAAAGAAGTTGGAGTCCATAGCCCCCAAGAGGGGCCCCCCAGCCCCTGAAAATTTTAAGGAGGCCAAAAAGTAGCTCCCTTTGACCAAGAAACATCCTCGAGTTTCAAATCTGTACCTCATTAGGTAAAAAGTTAGAAGTGGTGGAAAGGACTTTTGGAACACCCTGTATAGTACCCTGCCTTGTAGACACAACGCTCATTTTCCATGATGAACCAGAAACATTATATTTCACTTTGAAAATATCTGAACACAAAGACAAAAGGGCAAAAAACCAAGAAAAAGGAGGGAGAGAAGAAAAAAAGAGAAAGATGAGGAAGTGTTGGGAAATTTTGCGAAAAGATATAAAATGTGAATGTCTTACTGAGTTCCGTTTAAAAAAAAAACGTTTAGTGGGCAATTTATTGTCATTAACTTTTATTGAACCTCTAGTACTTCACACTTGAACCTGCTAAAACTTATTTTAGACAGACATGCTTGAATCATCTTATTAGGGAAAACCCAGTTTGGCTATCAGCGCAGAAAAATGGGGGCATTTCATTTTTGCGTGAGATTGTATAGTTAAAGCAAACTTTTAAAAAAATTTTTACAGACAAAATTTTAAAAAAAATTACTAGTAAAGCTTAAAACTTACCGGCTGAAGCCGAACGAATTAACACTTGCTGTCCATTAATGGTTGCCAAGGTGGCACTACCAGCTGCCAGTTGCTGAACAAGGTTTTTACTGGCATTGTTTACGACCACTTGTTGACCACCCGTTTGTAATAGCTAAAAGAAAATAAAAAATTGAAAAAATGATTGATTGAAAGGCTATGGTTTACTATCAGAATTCAACGTGAAAGTCAATGACTAGAGCAAAGCAGACTGAAAGGGGAATTTTGAAACCCTCCATGAATTCATACCAGTGATTAAGGCAGTTTAAAAAGCGGTAAGAATTTTTCACTGTGTTAGTCGAGAGGATGTTTTTGGGCCTCTGTGAGATGCGTTGAACCGGCAGTGCCATGAACTTCCCTATCTGCAGATACCCAAGTGAAAGTTTTTGGCTCCCAAACGTTCCTCTGATGATCTTGTTTTTTGATCGACTGTATTTTGTACACCATAATTGATTTTTAAATGCAAGGCCTATTCTTCCTCCACTAAAGTCAATATAATTTATCATGGGGATAAAATGGCGAAAGGGCATATGTCTATGCTTCACCTAGGAGGCTGCAAGTTTCAGGGACCTCTATTGAGATCCCTTGGTCATGGGAACATGACTTGGAGACAAGATTTTGTAAACTTTCGGTTTTTTGAACAACCCTTTAATTGAGGTATTATTTGGATTGCATTTTGCAAAAAAAGAATCAAGAACATTCTGATGTTGCTAAGATTGTGCAACTATTTTTACCTTGCAAATCTAAACGGATCATCTAAACAAGTTTAACTTTGATATCGAATTAACTACAAATTCAAGACAAAAATTACTTTTGTAAAGGATGTGTTCCATTAAGGGGGGTATTTTGGCCCTAACTTTTGTCGAAAATTGAAACAGCTTAGAATAAAGTCATGTATGGTCAAATCGACTCTTAATCATCTACCCTGTGAGAACTTGGCCTTATTTGAGGTGTTTTTGAAAGGTATTTGCCTGATATACCCGCGCAAAGTAGTGAAGTCTTGCAGTTTTCTCGAATAATTGCTCATTTTCGGTCCTAAATTAGATTGGTATGAGCGCAAGCGACTGCCACTTTCTCCTTTAAATATGTTGTGATGGATTTACTAAAGATTTGCATATTCGAATATGAAAGTGGTTAGTCCCTTGCGCTGGCTCTTAAAAGTGAACTTATGTCACTTTTCACATAAATAAATATATGAAACTTGTTCGAATTTCGTGCCAATCTTTTCAATTCCAGTAGTTGCAAAAGTAATCCCATAAGTATGAGAATAGTTTTTGAAATAATTAACAATACTTAGGTCACGAAGGTAGTACATAGTCCATTTGATGGGCACACGGTGGTCAAGCTTTTCCATTTTAGCGACTTCAAAGGTATTCATGGACTGTGTACTTCCTTATTTTGCCACAGTCCAGACCGGTTACAGCTACAACCGGTTCAGCTAAAATGAGTGTCTCTCAATGTTTGAGGGTCTAAACTAAAAGGCTAGCATGCTTAGACCCTCAAACCTTTTAAGCTATAAAACCCCCCTTAATAACACATCCTTTAATTTTTTTTTTATTATTTCAGTATTTTACTGCAAAGAATGTAAGTTGCATAAGCCTAGCAACATTGGAATGCTCTTGGTTCCTTTTTGCAAAAAGCAATCCATTTGCAAAAAGGGCTTTTTTGCCTGTTTTGCAGAAAACGGCTCCGTCAAGTCAATCCTCCTTACCTTGACGAATAATTATACCTAATTTGGTCGGAATCCCCTGATTCTAAGAAAAATTTTGCTGAAAATTGTGCGCAGCAGAGAGGCAAAATTGAACCTTTGGAGACAACTTGTTGCACAAAGATGGTTAGAGGTATGAACACACTGTTGTACAATGCACGAGGTTTTCCCACCAGTCCTCTCCACCAGCCTTACTCTGCACTAGGTATCAATTATGACAGTCTGGTCCCAGATCATTTAAGGGTATGTTCCACAAATTTTGTGCGCTGTTGAAGGTTATCTTACTATAGTAAAAAAAAAAAATAAGGCCTTTTTTGTGTGTACATTCGTGTCATTTTGCATTCTCATTGGTCGTTCATTAACCAATCAGAAGACGCCATTGAATATCCCCAGGAAATTTAAATGTATGCTTCCTTACATCATTCGATATTAAACATGATAGACACGTATCAAACGGGATTTATTGATATTAACCGGTAAAACGGGATGTACCTATATTAAGCAACCAGGATTACAGAAAGGATATGGATCTTAGAATATCGATCTTCAATACATCGTTTGTTTTAAAGCAAAATTGCCTGGGATACAACGGGATTTCTTCATAGTAACCGGGATAACAGGAAGGAATTTTACCAATACAGGATAGTCATGGATAAATAGGGATGTACCCATATTAGGAAACCAGGATAACAGGAAGGATATCGATCTTTCAGTATCGATCTTCGATATATCGTTTGATTGAAAGTAGTATTGACTGAGATAAAACAGGATTTCTTCATAGTGACCGGGATAAGAGGGAGGAATTTTATCTATACAGGATAGTTGTGGATAAAACGGGATGTACCTATAATGATAAACCTGGATAAAGGGAAGGATATCGATCTTTCAGTATCGATCTTCGATGTATCGTTTGATTGAAAGCAGTATTGACTGAGATAAAACAGGATTTCCTCATAGTGACCGGGATATACGGGAGAAATTTTACCTATACAGGATAGTCATGGATAAAACGGGATGTACCTGTATTAAGAAACCGGGATAAAGGAAGGATATCGATCTTTGAATATCGATCTTCGATATTTCATTTGTTTTAAGGCAGTATTGACATGGATAAAACGGGATTTCTTCATAGTAACCGGGATAAAAGGGAGGAATTTTACCTGTAGAGGATAGTCATGGATAATACGGGATGTATCTCCATTTTTTAACGGGAATAAAAGGATCAATATCTATCTTTATATATCGATCTTCGATATATCGTTTGATTTAAAGCAGTATCAACTGGGATAAAATGGGATTTCTTCATTGTAACCGGGATAATAGGGAGGAATTTTATCTATACAGGATAGTCATGGATAAAACGGGATCTACCTATAATAATAAACCGGGATAAAGGGAAGGATATCGTCCTTTTCATATTTATCTTCAATATATCGTTCGATTCTAAGCAGGATTGACAAGTACAAAACAGGATGAATCAATATGAACCGGGATAAAAGGGAGGATTTTTACCTATACAGGATAGTCATGGATAAAACGGGATGTACCTTTATTCTTTAACTGGCATAAAGGGAAGGATATCGATCTTTGTATATCAATCTTCGATATATTGTTCGATTTAAGGCAGGATTGACAGGGATAAACCAGGATTAATTGATATTAACCGGGACAAAAGGGAGGAATTTTACCTTAAAACAATAGCCATGGATAAAACAGGATGTACTTATATTCAGTAACCGGGATAATAGGAAGGATATCGCTCTTTGTGCATCGATTTTCGATATATCATTCTATTTAAAGCAGGGGGCTGAATTACTTCCCACAAACACACCAAAAACTGTGGTGGCTTCACACCAAATAACACATCAAACAGTCCAAGAACACCGAACACATCGAACACACCAAACATATCAATCTCACTAATCACAAAAAAACACACCAAACACATAGAACCACAAATTTCATCAAGCAAATCAAACACATCAAACGTACTAAATACATCAAACACACCGAACACATCAAGCAGACTAAACACTTTAAACACACTAAACACATCAAACTCACCGAACACATTAAACTGACCCAACACATCAAACACACCAAACAAAAAAAACACATCAAACACATTGAACACACCAAATACATGGAACACACAAAACATATCAAGCAAATCAAACATATCAAGCAAATCAAACACATCAAATACACCAAACATTTTGGGGGCTTTACACCAAACACACCACACACATCAAACACATTAAACACATCAAACTCACTGAACACATCAAACTCATCGAACACATCAAAGACACTAAACACTCCAAACACATCAAACTTGCCAGTCGATAGCGGCAAAAACATAAAAATCGGTCCGGTAAAGAGTTGTAACTAAGCGTTACCAGAAATTAAAATGAAGGAAACCTGAGAATTTTTTAGTATAGAAAATGATAAATATCAATTTATATCTGGTTTTAAATAATAGAGTGTCGTCTCAGAAAAACGGAATGAAACTTGAAGACCTATGATAGTGTGTATGTTGGTATCATCCCTCTATTCTGAATGAAAATCAACAAATTCACACACTAAACTCATCAAACACACCATACAAATCAACACACGAAACACATCAAACACACCACGGTTCCTTGGGTGCCAGGTACGGCAGTCCCGAGGGGTTGGGGTTGGGCTCCTTGCTTGAAAGGAAGATTATTCCCCTTTTCTCAAATTTCGTACATTTAACCCGGTTAATATCAATGCACCCAGTTTTAGTCAGTCCTGAACAACAAATCGAAGATCAATAAACAACCTATACGGTAGTTTGATAGATGCAACTGCATTTATCCCAGTTAATCTAAGTTCATCCTAATTCAGTTAGATTCATCCTTGCAGTAACAATGAATTCGATTTTCAATTGATTAAATTTCGAATAAATTAAATTTGAGGAAAGCTATTGCGATGCTAAGTGGGGTTCTCTGGGACCAGAGTATCTTCAAGGAGACCAAAAGAAAAATTTACAACGTCATCGTGAAGAGTATCGTAACTTACGGGAGTGAGATCTGGCAACTCAAGAAAAGAACTGAAGACATGCTTAGGGCAACCGAGATGGACTTTTGGCGAAGGTCTGCTGGGATATCGAGAAGAGAGCGTGTCTGCAATGAAAGGGTACGCGAGATAATGGGTGTGGAAAAGGACATCGTGCACGATATCAGGTCCAAGCAGTTGGTCTGGTATGGACATGTGCGAAGGATGGCAGATGATCAGTTGCCCAAGCAGGTCTTCGATTGGGTTCCTCCCGGAAAGCAACGGCGTGGACGTCCTGTGAAAGATTGGCGACAAGGGGTGGAGGAGGAGATCAGAAGGTGCCAATTGCCTGATGATCTCTGGGAGGATAGGGGGCAATGGCGATT